GGCAGGACAGACGGGCTGCCCCCATGGGGCTTGCACCGCTGCGCCGTCGCGCCGCGGCGTTCCGCGCGCTCGAGTTCTGCCGCAAAGCGCGCGCCGGCAACTGCGCGGCTATAGCAGCTCAGTGGGCGGCCTGTAACAGGGCACGCGCGCGCGCCCAAACAGAAGGCGCACCTGGCCAGGGCCGCGACGCGAGCAACCGCGGCGCCCCTTGGCGGTCGCGGCCAGGAGGGGCTCCGGGCAGGAGGGCGGCGAGGGCGGCGAGAGGGCCGCGACGAGCACGGTCGCGAGGGGGGCAAGGGGGGCGGGGCGTCACGGGCGACGAGGGCAGGGGCAGGCGGGCACGGGGGGAAGGGGGTGGACCAGGAATACTGAAGAAGATTCAGGATCCACGCGACACCCGAATCTGCAAAGCCATATCTGCTCAAGCTGGTAAAGCCACTGTGGCGCTGCTACTGCTCGGGCGACGTGGGAAAAAGGTGGCAGGGGGAAGGCCGCGCCCAAGGTCAACTTAGCTAGAAGGCCATAGAAAGGGCCGGCAGCCCCCGCCGCCGACTCAACCGAGCCAGGTGATACGGCATATGTTGCGCGATAGCGCGAGAAAATGTCGCCGCGGCAATTGCAAGAGATGGCGGCCCTCGCCATGGCCAACTTCCGTGCAGGTGATATCCCAGGAATGCGCCGCATCGCTGGCATAGGGGCCCATGGCTCTACCCCTGGGGACATGCGCAGACATTCGACAAATCAGCTGGCACCGCAGAAACTCACCGAAACACGTGCACTGACGCTGCCTTCGCCACAAGAACAGAAGAACATTGTCGACCACTGGAATTCATCAGACTGCTACCCCGCGAGCTCATTGCGGCCGTGCGTGCATCATGCGAAGATTATTCGGCAGGTGCGTCTGCAGTGGAAGCGATAAATTGGTGAAGTGTTGGGGCGAAACGGTTGGTGAGATGGTAGCGCAACCCTATCGGCAAAAGCTGGCGCTGACTTGGCAAGAGGGGATTTCGCGGCATGATCTTCGCGGCGAAAGGCGATTGGAAGCGCGCGCGCATGGACAGGGGCACCCGCGATGGGGCGGGGGGGGCGGCGAGGAGCGGCACCTGCGACAGGAGGAGGTGGAGGGTTCGAGGAGGGGGGCGAGGACAAGGATAAGCGGACGAACAGGAAAAGGAATAGGATGCGCGGCGGGAATAGCGGAACTTGCCCACCTTCGTGACAGACGTGGGCCAGGCGCGTTGCATGCCCGAGGAGTACGCATTGCCGAATGATAGCGCGAACTCGCCATGCCATAAATGCACCGCCAATGTCACCGACGAGAAGTGGAATGATTACAGACAGCGCGAAACGCTATGGTTGGATCATCTGTGGGATCTTGCTTCATGGCTGGCGGCGAACCCTGCTCACCATTCGATTTTCTATATGCCAGAAACTGATATTATATCGTCAGCGAACTACGATCGATGATCTCATGCAAGCATTATCCCAGGCACGGCTTCTGAAAACTTACACAATGGTCATGGGGCGCGCCAGAGATTTCTGGAAGCGGAACGGCATTCCTGAGCACTATAACAATGTGGCGCTGAGCGTGTGCCACGACCCAAATAACCGCGATGAGGAGTTTCCAAAGTTGAAAAGGAGCGCGCGACAAACGCGAGGACAAGGACAATGGCGCTGTGTGAGACATGGCCTGTCCATGCGGCCGTGAGCGTTCCCGCTTACAGGCAGGTTGGCTTGGGGCTGCGTGAAAGCACGCGGCTGGATGAATTTATGACAGAGAAGACGCGCGAATATAACATATCTCCTGAGGCGGCAGCATAATGACAGCAGTGCGCGTTCATGTCTCATCGTGCCAAACAGCTGCGGCGAACTATCTTAATCGATTGGGGAATCTTCTGTTCGATGTGACGCCGGAGTCGCATGGTTTATGCCATCTCGGCCACGATTGCGCGCACTTGAATCCGCGGAGCGGGCGGTGCTACGCAAGAGAAAGCATGATGCACACCGTGCGTGCTGTGGGGAGCTCGTGCTGCCGAGGGTGCACAGCGGACGCAGTATCTATCAAAACCAAAGTGAAATACGTAGCGAACCGCATATGCGGAAAAGGGTGAGTGGTGGGGGAATCGGCAGTTTGCGAGACTCTGGAGAAGCCCGCCGCAGGCGCTAAAGTTTCACAAATCATACACCGAGCCCGCCGCAGGCGCCGATTTTTTCCTTAAACCAATGTGGGTAGGTCGCGGGTGGGTCGCAAATGGGTTGCGGGTGGGTCGCTGTTGGGTCGCGGGTGTAGAGGGCAGAAAATCCACCCCATAAGAATCACCCCGACAAACGAAGCCGCTTAGTAAACGCACACAAAGAATCAATCGAATATGACAGGGCTGTTTAGTCAACGCCCAGGGCCGTTTAGTAAACGTCAACTGTCGGGTCAAGGTCTCCATTGAGGGTGGGTCGCAGGTGGGTCGGGGGTGGGTCGCGGGTGGGTCGCGGATGGGTCGCTGGGTGGTCGCGGATTGGTCGCGAGGTGGGTCGCGGGTGGGTCGCGGGTGGGTCGCGGGTGGATCGCGGGGTGGGTCGCGGGTGGGTCGCGGGTGGGTCGACCAACAACAACAACAACAACGACAACAACAACAACAGCAACAACAATCACTTTACCCGAACGCTCAGTGTTCTCACCAGTGCCAGGGTTTTCATGCGACGCCAGCCAATACCCCCACTTTGTGGGGGGGCAGTGCAAGCTCTACCAAATATCCACACGACTCTTCGCCACCACCCACACCCAGCTTCCCGCCCTATGACGTTCGGACACTTCACTTCGTGGCCTGCGGACGACCGTGGCTACTACACTGGCGTGGAGTACACACCCACAGAAGTTGTTAAGCCTACGTTCGTACACCCACAGAAGTTGTTAAGCCTTGTTAACCCACAGAAGTTGTTAAGCCTTCCACAGAACCGTGCTGCTCCTCCAGCTCCTGGGCGCTAGAAATACTAACCTTGCCAGGCACAACCCGATACTTGCCCCACCAAGTCTTGCACGCCTGGTGACTGACCTGGATACCCTTTGCAACGAGCGCCTGATGCAAATAATACGGGCTCTCGCAGTCGGCCAAGGGAGGCCGCGACAGCTCCGGGCCATACTGCTCGTCAAGGGCTTTCGCCGTCAAAGCCATGGACCATCCAAGAACACAGGCGATACCTTGATCCGAGATGGCTACGGATGTGCCAGTGATCAGTCGGAGGCTTCCTGGGGCCGCTTGGGGTCCTCTTGGGGAAGGGGGGAAGCCTCCTGGCGCCGCTTGGGGTCCTCTTGAGGGGCTTTGGGGGGCTTCTTGGAAGCATCTTGGGGCCTCTTGGGGGCTTATTGGGTCCTCACGGCGGGCTCTTGGGGCCTCTTGAAGGCCTCCTGGGGCAACCTATGGCGCAACCAGTAGGGGGACGTTTTATTCTCGGCGGCCGAGGGCGCAACCTATGGCGCAACCAATAGGGGGACGTTTTATTCTCGGCGGCCGAGGGCGCAACCTATGGCGCAACCGCAAGGGATTGTGGCCCCTGGCAGGCGCGCGAACCCCGTTGCAAGAGCGTGCGAAAGTAGCTCGCGCGAGCTCATGTAACATAAATGTTGGAAAACCATTGGTTTTTTTTAGGATTCGGACAGCGCGCGCGGGTAGAAATTTTGAAAAGTCGTGCAGGTGTTTTTCGAGGACCTACGGTGCGATTCGTGTGATTTTATGATGCGCGGTGCTAAAATTCTTAAGAAGCCCAATGGTTTTTGGAGATTTCGGCGTGCGCGCGCGAAGAAAAAACGAATGTGTCCCGCATGGTATTATTTGACAGGGATGATGGCCCTGGCAGGTGCGCAACCGTTGTCGCAGAAGTTCGAAAAAGTTGCTCGCAAAAGCCCGTTTGACAGAAATGTTTAAAAAGTGTTGGGTTTCCTACGAATCCGCAAGAGCGCGCGGGATGAGATTTTGACAATTTTTTGTTGAAAAACCATTGGTTTTTTGATGTTTTTATGTTAAAATCGCTGCGAACACTAAGGTTTTGGAAGGATTTCGTCTTGCGCGCGCGAATGTCCACTTTACCTTATTTTTTGCAAGGGATTCTTGAAATTTGATTATATTAGAACAAGAAATGTCATTTTCTATTGTTTTTTGCAAGGGAAAGCGGATTACAACAAAACAACCGGATCCTGTACACACCCTCTTTTCTGAGGCTTCCTCACGAAAATGATGAAAATGTAGCTGCGGCCTAGGCGGCGCAGGGGGGGCGCGCACCAGGGGGCCCAACAATAATTATTCTTTAGAATAAATAATGTTCAACAACAACAACAACAACAACAACAACAACAACAACAACAACAACAATAGCAACGCACCAAGAAGAACTCTCACCACGAATTCCATAGTCACACGCACGCAGGGACAATGCATGACCCTTCGGCTCCCTCTCTCAGATACAGAGGCGATGCACCTGCTTCAGATGTTTTCGCACACGTTTGCGGAGTAGCGCGCTTGATGGGAAACAGGAGATCTCCATCGAAGTCCACGTGCCATCATTGTTCATGCGCTGAGATTGTATGTGTTTTTTTGCGTATACAACGGCATAATTGACGTATAAAGTTTGCGGATTATTTGTAGCGAACACACATAATAGTTCAAACTTAACTATTCAGTCAAGTGAAAGTGTTACTATGTGCTGACATGTTTGTTTTACCTGTATAAATAAAGTTCAAGGTTACCTCCGGCCAAATACTCAAATGTTACCTATACGTTACAATTCAACTATACTTAAACCTTTCACTATCCCAATGTTGAGGGCTCCGCGCGGATTTCTGGGGTCTGCGCTGGCCCCCCCTCTGTGGAGCGCGCCAGGGGCGGCGCCGGAGGCGCCGCCAGGGGGGCGCGCAGCTCCGACAGTCTATGCCCCTGCCGTTTTTGTTGCTCCCCTCGGGGGCAGGACGACTGGGCCGCCGCGGCCGCTGCCGAGGCCCCCCTCCGACATGCGCCCCAGCACCACGTCGGCGTCCGTCACCGTGGCCGCCACGCCGCCGCGGCCGTAGCAGGCCGGCCCCGGCTCCGACCCGGCCGAGCGCGGGCCGACGGCGATGGCGCCCGCGGCGCTCGTGGAGGCGATGCTGCCGCCGCCGCCGCTGATCTCCACGAGGTCCAGGCAGGGTATCTGCAGGGGGAGCCCGGTGTGCTTCCGGAAGCCCGCGGCCTTGTGCACCTCGAGCTCGCGGGCCACGGCGGCGCGGGCGCCGCGGATCCCGCACACTTTGGTCGTGGTGCCGCCCACGTCTCGGGGACTGCCAGTGAAATGTGTCCCTGGCCCAGCATCATTTAGGGAGACGAAACGTGGCATAAACATAACAACTCGGAGGTCCGCGCGGATTTCTCGACTCGGCGCTGGGGCCCCCTGGCGGCGCCTCCAGCGCCGCCCCTGGCGCGCTCCGCGCGCCAGGGAGGGGACCCAGCGCCGATCCGAGAAATCCGCGCGGACCTCCGAGTTTTTATGTTTATGCTACTTTTCGTCCCTCTATCATTGTCCCCCAGACCTCCGCGCCACTCTGGAGCCCATGGGGCCCTCTGGGCCTCGTACGGGGTGCTCTGGAGGCCGCGGGGGGCTTCCCATGAGAGCACCCTGGGCAAGGGATACATCTGGCAACACCCGGATGTCCAGCGACAACACCTCGCCGATGCCCAGCTCCCGCGACACGCTCTGCGCAAGCATCACGCCTCCCGCCGGCCCAGACTCCACCAGGCGCACGGGCACCTCTCGGTCGCTCCGCAGGGTGTGGTCTGCAGAGGGTGTGGTTTGCAACCCGCGCCATCGGGTTCTCCGCCGCGACCCGAGGCGGCCCGACGAGGGCAAGGCGGCGCCCCCCAAACCCCAGCCGACGCAGATCGCAGACCACACCGCGGCGTGACCACACCCTCTGTAGCCGCCGAACCTCCGCCGCGGCGTCGGCGTCCAGGAGACCCCCGCCCGAGGACATCAGAAGCATCGGGCACTTGAAGCCGGCCTGCTGCAGCTCGGCCTTCGCCTCCCCCAGGTACGCGGACAGCAGCGGCTGCACGTAGGCGTTGGCCGCGGCCGTGCTGAACCTTGAGCAGGGACCGACCGTCCAGGCATTTCTATAGCCCTTCCACGAAATGTTCTGAGAATCCAAAAATCCCACCAGCCCTTTGGGCGTGAGTGGTTTAGCGAGCTCTCTCTGTTCTGAACCCCCCTTCTTCCCCTTCGGGGAGGGGTTTACCCCTCCCCCTACCCCCTCCCCCTGGGCCTGGAGAGGTCCTTCCGCGGGTCGTCAGAGGGGTCATTTTCGACTCCTGGGAGGGCTAAAATTCGACAAGGATTCTGGCCCCGACGGTGGGGGGGAGAAAAATGCTCGCCTCATCTGTGGTCGATCCCCCGACAGATGGCCCCAAGATTCCTCCCAGACCCCTCACAGAGAGCCCCACGAGGCCCCAAGAGGCCTCCAAGAGGCCCCCAAGATGCCCCCAAGAGGCCCCCAAGAGGCCCCAAGAGGCTCCCCCGAGGCACCCACGACGCTCCTGGAAGGCCCTGGAGCTGCCAAGAGGCGCCCAAGACGCCCCAAACGGCATCCAAGAGGCTCCCAAGAGGCCCGAAGACGCTCTCCCAAGGCACCCAGCACGCTCCTAGAAGCCCCAGGGGCCGCCAAGAGGCGCCGAAGACGCCCCAAGAGGCCTCCAAGAGGCTCCCAAAAGACATCTACTACTACTTCTACGTCTACTTCTACGACTACTACTACTACTACTACTACTACTACTACTACTACTACTACTACTACTACTACTACTACTAGTACAAGTACTACAACTACTACTACTACTACTACTACTGCTACTACTACTACTAATACTAGTACCACTACATCATCATCTACTACTACTACTACTACTACTACTACTACTACTACTACTACTACAACTACAACTACTACTACGACTACTACTAGTTCTAGTCCTAGTACTACTACTCCTACTACTACTGCAACTACTACTACTGCTACGACTACTAGTACTACCACTACCACTGCTACTAGTACCACTGCTACTAGTACTACTGGGACTACTACTACTGCTGCTATCAGTACTAAGACTACTACTTCTACTATTACTAATCGTCCTACTACTGCTACTACCACGACAACTACCACTACAACTAATAAGACTACTATCACTACTACTGCTTCTAGTACTGCTACTACTACGACTACTACTACTACTTCTATCTCTACTATTACTACTTCTACTCATGGTGCTACGGCCACTACTACTGCCAGTACTACTACTACTACTACTACTACTACTACTACTACTACTACTACTAGTACTACTACTACTACTACTACTACTACTACTACTACTACTACTACTACTACTACTACTACTACTACTACTACTGCTACTACTACTACTACTACTACACTACTACTACTACCATATAGACCACTGCTCTAGTGACTGCCTCTGCTACTGAGACAACTAGTGCGACGACGACGTTGACGACTACGTTTGCTACTACCGCTGATACTGGTAATACCACTACTACTACTACTACTACTACTACTACTACTACTACTACTACTGCTACTACTACTACTACTACTACTACTACTACTACTACTACTAGTACTACTACTACTACTACTAGTACCACACTACTACTACTACTACTACTGACTACTACTACTACTACTACTACTACTACTACTACTACTACTACTACTACTACTACTACTACTACTACTCCTAACTTACTACTACTACTACACTACTACTACTACCACTCTTCCATTACCCTACACTACCATTACCACTACTACTATGCTCCTACTGCTCCTACTGCTCCTACTGGTCTACTACTACTACTACTCACTATACTACACTACTATACTCTACTATGCTACTACTGCTACTACGCTATACTATCTACCATACTAGTCGTGTCCTTCGGCTGAGTGTTTAGAGAGCTCTCTCTGTTCTCAACCCCCCTTCTTCCCCTTCGGGGAGGGGTTTACCCCTCCCCCTACCCCCTCCCCCTGGGCCTGGAGAGGGCGTCCCGCGGGTCGTTGGAGGGGTCTTTTTCGACTCCTGGGAGGGCTAAAAAACGACACCCCTCACGAGGATTCTGGCCCCGACGGGGGGAGGCAGAAAAATGCTCCCCTGTTCTTTGAAGCCAAAATCATTGATTTTACTACGGTTTGGGCTCCATTTTGGCCTTCTGAGGGGGCAGCGCTAATTAAAGCTCCCCTCTTCTTTCAAGCCACAATCATTGATTTTACCAAGGTTTTGGCCCCATTTTGGCCTTCTGAGGGGGCAGCGCTAATTAAAGCTCCCCTCTTCTTTGATCGATTTCCTCCAAGATGGCCCCAAGAAGCGCCCAGGAGGCACCAAGAGGCCCCAAGATGGCCCCAAGAGGCCCCCAGGAGGCCCCCAAGAGGATCCCAAAACGGACCCAAAGAGGCCCCCCCGAGGCACCCAAGACGCACCCGAAAAGCCCATCAGGACGACCCTCTACTCGCCTGGGCGTCGTTTCTGGACGGGCAGGAGGAGGGGCCCGAACGACTCACACCAGGACGAGGGGCCCGAACAACTCACACCACGAGAAGCCCGAACGACTCACACCAGGACGAAGAGCCCGAACGACTCACACCACGAAGAGCCCGAACGACTCACACCAGGAAGAAGGGCCCGAACGACTCACACCAGGACGAGAAACCCCAAACGACTCAAACCACGAGGAGCGCTTTCTCTCCCTCCTCCTCCGCCTCGTCCTTCTCCCGCTCCCACCACAAGGAGGATGTACAAGGAGGCGGGAGGAAGGAGGAACAGGGGAGATATGCGGGGGCAGGCGGAAACACGCCTGAAAAACACGACTGTCGGCATGCTTCGCTAGAGTTGCTGTTTTGAGATGGGCTGGTGGGGATACGCGAAGCGTGAAGAATTTCTGAGAACAAAAACAATGTTCCTAGAACATAAGCCCGATGTGATAAAACAAGACAGACTCCGCCAGCAATGTTCTCTGAACATTTCGTGGAAACCACGAAAGGTTCTTAGAACATTATATGGTAGGGCTACAGGCCAGCCAGGACGCTTCGCCACTGCTTGAGAACCGCTCGTACTCGCGCGCCTCGGGGCTCACGCCGCTGGACGTGCACACCGGCACCCCCGGCAGCAGCGGCCGCAGGATCGCCGCCGCACGCTCCTCGTGGGCGCCCGCCACGTGGCTGTGCAGGAAGCAGACCGCCACGCTCTCCGCCCCCGCGGCACGCAGCTCGTCCGCCACCGCGGCCACGCCCTCCTCGGGGGAGAACCCTGGCAACATATACCGAGAGCGCTGCTGTCTGGGCATCTCACAGGGTGCGCTCTGATCAGCATTTCGCGGCGGGCCCAGCGGTGGCGACGAGGGCCTCACAGAAGGCCCCAAGAAGGCGAAACCAAGGCCAGGGTAGCTGTATCGGTACCTTTTCCTTCCCCTGATCCTCGTCCAAAGCCTCCAACTCCTGGCCAGCCGCGCCGTGGCGCTGCCTCACCTCGAATCGGAGGTGCCGCGGCACCAGCGCCGGTGTCCTCTCAAGGCAGCAGTCGTGGCTGCCGTGCGGCCCGCCGCGCCCGAGGTCCAGGACGTCGCGGAAGCCCTGCGTCGTGACGAGCGCGGCGCGCGCCCCCCGCCGCTCCAAGATCGCGTTGGTGGCGAGCGTCGTGCCGTGGAGTACCATCGGGGAGCACATCATCACACAAGCGGCGGAGGAGGAGGAGGAGGAGGAGGCGGAGGATGAGGATGAGGAGGAGGAGGTAAGGAAGAGGGCGGGCGCTGGAGCCCCGTTGCGGCGCGTCCGCGCGCCACCAGTGGGGGGGGGGGGGGGGTGAGAAGCCATCAACCGTATGGTGGGGGGGCCCAGCGCCGATATCCGAGGAGATCCCGCGCGGACCTCGACGAAGGCATATGTGATTGATGCTGTTTGATGGGATGGGCCAGTTTCCAACACCGCAAATCACCCCAACAACCGCTAACCATGGGGAGGAGGAGGAGGAGGAGGAGGAGGAGGAGGAGGAGGAGGAAGGAGGGAGGGGAGGGAGGGCAGAGGAGGAGGGAGGAGGAGGAGGAGGAGGAGGGAGAGAAGGAGGAGGAGGAGGGAGGGAGGAGGAGGAAGGAGGAGAAGGGGAGCAGGAGCAGGAGGGAGGAGGAGGAGGAGGAGGAGGAGGAGGAGGAGAAGGAGGAGGAGGAGGAGGAGGAGGAGGAGGAGGAGGAGGTGGAGGAGGAGGATCTCCCCATCCTCCCTTGTCCCCGTCCTACCTGTGGCAGTGGTGGTGGAAAACTGCCCCATCAGCTTTATGTCGGGACTGTCCCCCTACAGAGGGATTTTCGACGAAAAATAAAGATGCCCCCAAAATAGTATTAAAAAAATGCAAAAATAGTCTGGGGACTATTTTTGGAGTATCTTTTGACCTTTTTGGAGCATTTTTTTGGAATATTTCTTACCTTTCGTCGAAAACCCCCACTGCAGGGGGACACGCCCGACATAACATCAGCTCTTACGCCGCGATGTGCTCCCCGATCTCAGGCGCACCTGCTCCGGCCTGCGGCCGCCCGCGGCCAAGGCACGCATGGAGGCCTCGAGCAGCCCCCTGGCGGGGCTGCGCGGGGTGGTCAGCACCTTCACCGCGAGCCTCCGCTCGCCAGCCGCCCCGTCCTCGAGCACCGCGTCCGTGAAGGTGCCACCTGTAGGCTGGGCACGTCCTCCTGCAGGCGGACTCTGGAAGAAAAATTGAAGATAGTCAAGAAGTGCTCAGAAGTAGGCAAGCAGAATCGAAACATCATGCCCTGACTACTTTCTGGTCTATTTTTGGAATATTCCTCCTGTGGGGGGGGCGTGCCCATGCCACCTATGTCGACCGCCAAGCGGCACACGAGCCGGCCGTCCTCCGGCGGGAATCAGAGATGGGGCCCTGGAGCCAGGGACATGGGGCCACAAGGACGAGAATCTCAAACAGTGACAAGCTCAACTTGTGATCCACTTCATATCCTCGGGGCCCCATCGCTCAGGGCCCCATCTTTGAATCGCCGAGTCCTCGTGCGCGGGGGCTAGCGCGCCCTGCGGCACGGCGCCCTGGCCCGCCGGCGGTGGCTCCGGCTCAGGGATCCTGTTCCGGAGCATCGGCGTGCGGTAGACGCCCTCGCGGCCGTCCATCGACGGCGCGGACGCCATTGCGGCCGGGAGGGGGGTCTCAGGCCGATCCGCGTGCAGCCCTCGAGCACAAAATGGCTGCGGTGCTGCTGCATCGCGCACTCCCTTCCCGAGTCCCCTCCTCAGAAGTTCCTATACGATGACTCGTCGTGGAGATCCCCACATGTCCACATCGTTTCCTGGCACACTCCCTTTGGCCAGCGTTACTACTACCCTCAAGGCGTTGAGCCTTTCTGGACGTGTAGACCGCTTTTGGTCCATGTTCTGCTGCCCCCCCCCCCAGGGGCTCTGGGCTGGGGCTTAAGTGCTTCACCCCCCCCCCTGGTAGCCTTCTCACGAGGAGCTTTCGAGGACGGCCTGCCCTGACCTGACCTGACTCGTCGTGGAGATCCCCAGACTAACGTCCCCAAACCATTATTGTCTATTTTTGTATGTTCCCCCTGTAGAGGAACATGCCCGACTGAACGTTAATGCTGCATCGCACACTCCCTTCCCAAGTCCCCTCCTCATAAGTTCCGACGATGACTCATCGTGGAGATCCCCACACGTCCACATCCCTTCCTGGCTTATCCCGCTGCCAGTGTCCGAGCGAGAGGAGCTGTCGCCCGAGGCGACTCGGAGCGCTCCCTGGCGTCTCCCTCTCGGCGTGCCCAAGCGGCATGCCTGCTGCATCGGGGCAGCACTGCTGCTGCTCAGCGTTCTGGCGACAGTGTTTTTTCTGGTTATCACAGAAATGCTTCTGCTGCCGATGCGCCGTCAGGTCGCGGCTATGTGCCTGCCACATGGCGGTGGGGGTCCGATCGGAGATGCGTCGGGGTTGCCAAATCCAGCGTTCCGCGCAAGACGTCCACCCGAATTGGCCGCCAATGGGCAGGTGGAACACCCGCAGACGGCTCCTCCTTCAGGCCCTCGAGTGCTACCCCTGCGATGTCGAGGTCACCATGCCGCTCTCCACAGAAGCAGGCTGGGGGGGCCACAAGCGAGTAAACCGCTCGAGGCATCCCAGCAGCCTGGGCGAGAACGAGACATGAAAGACCCCTGTGGCGACTGGGGCTTCCCAAATTGCAGTGCCTGCTACATCGCGATGACCACGAGGCTGCCAACCGAGCGGAGGGATCGGGGGCACCAGGCAAGCGAGCCGCGCGAGGCACCCCCGTGACCTGGCCGCGAGCGGGGACGTGGCGTCTCGCCTGGCGGCGGCTCCTCGGGTGCACCCAGGTGCGACGCATGTAATATCGCGGTGGCCATGAGGCGATCCAGAGGCAGAACCTCCTCCTCCTCCTCCTCCTCCTCCTCCTCCTGGGCGCACCAACCGGGCGAGCCGCTCGAGACATCCCCGACATCTGGCCGCGGACGGGGACACGAGATAGCCCCTGACGGCTCTCCTCTTCTGGGCCCGGGTGCCGTGCCTGCTGCCCCCGTGGGCCCGCAATTCGGGCGGGAACTGCGTCTTGAACACGGGGCTGGCCCCCCCTCCTCTTGGAGCTGGAAGTCATGCGGCATGGTGGGAGTGAAGACTTGAAAAAAAGAAAAAAAAATAAAAAAATAAAAAAAACAAACAAAAAAAAAAAAAAAAAAAAAAAGGAGTGAAGACTTGAAGGGACGGACACCTCGCTTTGAGAAAGAACCGCACCCCATCCGTTGTCGACATTTAGATGTTTCGCCGAACAAGATAGACATCTCAAACGACAACGCACCTGACAATTGATCCGACCTCCATCATTGTAAACGCTGGATTGGTATGCCATGCGGTATCGTGTGATCAAGTCTCCAGCGAGAGCTTCACTTTGAAAAGAAACCACCACACATAGTGAGCATTGCCTTATTCGGCGTTTCGACATTGGGCGCAAGGGGCGGGGGGTCGGTGGTCTGGCTCCATACCTCTGCTTCGTGCGACTGTTTACAGCAGTGCGCCTTTTGGGAGAGACCCCACCTGCGTGAAACAGGCGCCAAAAACAGTCGAGATCTCTACTCCACAGGGGGGGGGGGGCGAGGGCCCGCGCCGATCAGTCAAACAATGAATAAGAAAACGATCAAATACATGTTCGGCAGCTGAATAAATGGGTCGGTGAAAAAGCGAATGTTCGCGACGCCAAGGCGTGGGCCCTATTCAGAACACGGCCCGCCTTCCATCTATTTGATTGTT